CTCTAAATGGTCCATTTCAGCTTCTTGTGTGCAGAATAAATCTTACTGTTCTTCCATCCAGGTAATACCTGGGTTTCTTTTTTTCTTCCGTAGCTGCCACTCACCTTGGCAAAATCATAAATGATGGTGGCTGGGTTGTGGATCCCATCATCCACATAGTAAGTGGCGACTTCTTCCTTATCCATGGAGAACTTCAGCTGGGATTCTTCTCCATCCAACTCATCAATGGTCATGTGCAGAAGCTTCATGGAGTAGAAAGAGATGCATTTGGCTCACTTGCAGCAACCACTACTAGAGTGTTATATCAGGTGGGAGGCGATACAAGACCGGACAGGAGAGGTGACCCAACCCTTAGGGTGCATGGCATCCTCCTGGCAGTGTTCTGACCCAGCTCCCCAAACACCTCAAATCCTCTGTAGTTAAATCAATGATTCCTTTATTAGGACCGCCGGCATCCCCGGCAAAAAGTTTCTCTCTCACCGCAGGCTAACAAGTCCATCTGGCAGGGAGGTGAAAAGTTGTCTGCCACATCTATTCATCCCTGCCCCCTGCCTTTTATCCCCAGAGCTAGGGTGGGTCTTCACTGGCTCTTCCGTCCCAAGGACCGGCCCATAGATTTCCACTGCTCTCCTCTCCTCTGTCTTCTGTGCATCTGTGCGTCAGACACTGGACATAGATGTTCCTCCTCTTCCTCATCAGCCACCTCCAGCCTTGGGGGCTCTTGACTCTCCATCTGAGGGCTGATGGACAGCCCAGGCTCCCCCGCTCTCTCTCCCCCAACTCCATTCCCTCTTCCCCCTTGGAACTCCCAGATTTCCTTGATGCTGACCCTGACTCCCACGCCTCTCCCTCTGATTTGGCTGCTGGAGTGGGTAGTGGCTGACAGGCCACAACAGGCAGCCTCTCTAATGGGAGAGCTGCTGTAGGTTATTGGCCAGGAAGATTGGAAACAGAGGGGTGCTGCTATTGTTAATTATTTTGGTTGTTCTATTATTTCAGTGTTTTTTAAGGAACCAACCGGATGGAGAGCAATTTGTACATGTATCTGAACTGTGATAATGGGAGAATCCAGGGCCGTGCTGGTAAATGCAGAAGAACCAGCTGTGTGGTTGTCTCTGCACTGTTGGCTGTGAAATTTGAATTTGGCTCAGCTTTGCTTTTAAACAGCTCACAAAATCCCTGAAAATGTAGCCACCAGCTCTCCTGAGTGGGTGCAAGGCAGCCCCAGAACCCATCTGGGTGCCTCCTGGTGCAGCTTCCCTCACCTCTCCTGCCAGCTTTGGATGCTCCCACTAGGCCAACCCCAGGGGAAAAGAGCCCCTCCCCAGCCCAGTCTCCTGGGGACCCAGCCCTCCCCTACTTACGGCCTCCGTGTGCGCCTGGGTGATGTAGAGCCCCATCAGCAGAGCCCCCACGACAACCAGCACCACAATACCCACAATCACCAGGACGATCAGGAACTTCTTGATGTTCACAGGGCAGCCGATCATTTTGGGCAGCTGGCATAGCAGCCGTGGGAGGCAGCAGCACAGCTGGCAGCAGCAGTCGCAGCTTGGAGGGCAGCAACAATCGCAGCTCGGGGGGCAGCAGCAGCTGGGGCAGCAACAGCAGTTGGTGCAGGAGTCACAGCTGGGGCAGGAGCCACAACCACAGCAGGGGCAGCAGCAGCCCGGACAGGAGCTGCAACCTGGACAGGAGCCGCAACCTGGACAGGAGCCGCAACCTGGACAGGAGCCGCAACTTGGACAGGAGCCACATCCTGGACAGGAGCCACAT